GTGGATCAAACAAGCTAATCTTAAATGTCAAAGTAGAGAGGATCCTAGTAGGCCTATTTATTTTCATTCATTACACAATATGAATAAGCTATGCAGACAGTTGTAAAGAAAGAACATCTTTTTTTCTGTTCTCTACTTGTTATAGTTACACAGTATTAGGGGTGTGGGCTGTATTAAAAGTATCCACTGTTCTCCCATGCTCTAACACACAGTAACGATGAAATGTGTGCTGTTCTCACATTCTCCCTCTGTATGTACACATAAACAACAAGGCAGGGAAATATAAAAGGAATTTATTTTATTGTTTGGGTACATTATTGTTCAGTGTACATGGTCACATCTGAAACAAACTTTACGTGCTTGATAACTCTCCCACCCCGCAGACATCTACACGTCAATACCGATTTATATTCATAGCGGCAAGTGTTATGTAGCTCCACATAGGGGACACAGGAAGTGACATATAGCACCTTCATGCGGCGTCGGAACCGCGTAGGAAATTCACAGCCGCACCGGCAGAGCTCCAGAATATGCAACTCGGCCGGTTCACGCGCGGACGCGCTACAAGTGCGAGGGCCCGCCCAACGCTGCTTGCAGCTTTAATTTCTTTTCTTTCTTTTAATTTTTTTTAATCAAGTAAATAGCTAGTAGTAGTTAAGTTGTCAACTTAACAAACAACAACATATAGAAATAAGTATACTTTAAATCATATTGTAAATATACTTGTTTCTGTGTGTAAACGGTAAACACGTGTACACAGGGGCGAAGTGTGTCCTCCCGCCCAGCCTACTAGCGCAGTGCATTCAGTTGGACCAATCAGAATCAAGGTTTTTAAATCGACGACCCAATCACACAGCGTTGGTAAGTTTATTATTGTTAGCAAGAAAACACAATTGTGTAAGTTAACAAGAGCTGAGCTCACTCTGGGTCTGGTAATATTTTCCTTAGTGGATAGCTCTGGTGTGCATTAGCTAATGCTAGCACGTGGATTAATATATTTGTTAGCTAACGTTAGTTAGCATTTTAATAGCTTCATAATGGAGACAGCAACCATAGGCTGCCTTAAACAGTGTTGGGAGTAACGTGTTACAAAGGTAACGCAATCAACGTTACAGTAATGTATTGCTTTTTGCTGAAAGGCAGTTTTTAATGTTGCTAAAATGTCGGTAATATACAGTCTCAGTAATCCTGTTGCTGGAATTTGATGCATGAGATTTTAACAAGGCAGGCCTGTGCATGTGTGTATGAGCCCTCAATTCTGCTTTTGCACTGTTAAAATGACCAGTGAGGTCTTTATCAGAGTAAGAAATGCAACTAATATGTTGCTAGTATGTCTGTGTGCTAAAGAATAGATTCACATTTTTATAGTCTACCTTAATACTCACATATCCATGTTTACAGGAAGTTATTGGTCACTGTAATCATTATTATTCCTGCCCATATAGTCTGTAATGACATCACCACAGTTGTCATTTTTGTATAAATTCATTCTAAATCATTATTAGCATTTCAGCATATTAGTAATTTATTTCTAGTATACTCCAAGAGCCACTATTAATATCTTGGGAAGCTGCTTTATTAAACCATTCAGTATGAGAATAATGCATTATTAAATTAATTATCTAAATCTAATCAGCTAAGTATCTGCGTTAGACTATTCAAAAGTGGATATCTTCTAAAGGTACACTGTTTTTTAGAGATGTCTCATCACTGCAACCATGGGTGGGTAATCATTACAGTGACCAATAACTATAACAGCAATGTTGAAGTGTACACGGGTATGTGAGAATTGTTTTAAGATGCACTTGAAATAATGTTTTTGTGTACTGCAATGCCTGACCACACGATATGTAAAACACTGCTCAACTTTATGTCCAATTGTATGGTCATAGATCCTGGATTCAACTTTTAAAAGTTGAACCTACCCTTTGCCAACTTTAACCAACTTAATGCTAAACCCAGAGTTGGAATTTCCTGCCTTAGCTCAAGAAAATGAAATAAAGAATAATAATAAAGATTTGCTATAAGAATAGAATTACAGTGTTTATGATACACAAATGAAGAACTAAACTAGGTGGAAGTACTGGCCTAACTGAATATATATATTTCATTTGCAACTGCATTTCTTTTCTTTTAGAGCTTCCTGGGATTGTTGCCTCACTCAGATGGCTTAAGGTGCTTTCAGACCAAAAGCGAAGCGAGCATTCAGGCGGTGAGTTGGGGAAGAGGAGCAGGGAACAGCGCTGCAACCTTTGGACAAATAAACACCCATAGTCGGTCGGATTCAGCTCTGACAACTACGCCGATTACTCGCGGGAGGAGCTCGGAGTTAACTGCTTTTATTAAATTAGCTTTTTACTTTAATTTTTGGGATTTTGACATTCATTTACCTTCACTGGAGCTTCTCAGCAGCTAGCTTCTGTGCACAGTCCGTTCCAGTGTTGTTGTTAGCGGACAACAACATATAAATATAAAAACCAGACAAAACTGGACATTGCTGGAAGAAAATAAAGCGAGGAGGTTGAACTACCTGGTGAGTTCAGAAAACATGTGTCTGTAACTTTATTCCAGCTATCGTTGTACTTTACTGTGACCAAGTTAGCATAGCATAGCCCTGATCGAACCAAACTCCATTCAGAAAAGAAACATTTTATAAGTTGTTGTCCTGCTGTCTTGCTGACAGACCTGAGAAAGCATGAATTCATATGTTTAACAAATCTGCATCATGTTGTAGTTATTTCGGCATCAGTTTGACCCGTTTATTGCTATTTAATCACAGCAAAATGTTTACTTTGGGTTCATACAGTTGTAGTAAAGGCGAGTTGTGTTTATTCACGTTATCGCATTAAAATCGCCTTCTCGCGTTGTTTGTGAACACTTGCAGTGAATGTACTCACGCGAGGAAAGCGTTGCGAGGCGAAAATTCGCGGTAGGTCTGAATGCACCATTAGAGGCCACGAAAACCTCAAAGGACCAGCTGGACCCTCACAAGCTCAATGTGCTCATAGGTATGTCTGGCTCCTTCACACCATCACTGTTTTTCCTCTCACTACATGTCAACGGGGTCAGACTAAATAAACAAATATTCTTGTGAAAAAATAATTTTATTTAAAGTATTGTTATACATTAAGTTATTGGCTACTTTTGTACTTCACAAATTGACTGCTGTGTTAATGTGAAATGACATGTAGACAGAACAGTTGTTAAGCAAATCTGAATGTTTGTGTTATTTGTTGTACCTGTTTAATAACATTTTATCATCTACAGCTCCTTGGCTGAATGTACAGTAGTGTTTATGTAATGTTTTTGATCATGTTGTAATGGAAGAACTGAGCATTAACTGGGAAGGGTCCCCTGTGGAAAACCATTTCACCTGAACCTGAACGGTTTGCATTATAAGAACAGTTAGACATGATGTCATATTGTGTTTCAGCAACTTTAAACAATATAAAAAATCAGACAATGGTTCTTAATTAATTAGAGGTAACATTGCTTTGATATAGACAAAATATTTCCTTTTCCCTTCCACAGATGCTGTGTGATAAAGCAGTTTCCAAATCCCATAGTCACAGAAAATGCAACGAGTCCTACTCAAAGATAACCGACCCTCCACTCCAAGGATAAGGATTGTGCCATTTTTCTGTTTCAGTTTCATTTCACCATTTATACTGTATCAGGGTGACGGAGTACCTCCACTACAGTTGAGTAAGTGCTTGGACTGCCATACGTTGCTGTCAAAGTTGCGTGTTTTTTAATAAATAGACTAAAATGAAAAATATACTTTTATTTAAGCATATTTATTAAAAGTTTAATTAAGTATATTTATTCTATATATTCTATCTATTGAAAGTATACTTTTGAGAAGTATGTTAAAACTCAGGAGAATATATCTTTAATATACTTGTAGTAAGCATGTTAGTAGTATGAATGTACTATAAGCATACTATGTGAATTTCTAGTATATTTTCAGTTCCTTCTTTTGACCTGAGTTTCCATCCGATGTCATGCGAATTTCAAGCTGACTTTTGAAATGTTGCAAAAATAGAAGACATAACTGCAAATTAGGTGCGTTTATATCAGCCGGTTTGGAGCGAATAAACCAGGCTATGACAAGCGTAGTTACGTCAGTAGTTGACGTTACACATGGCTGTAATAAACAAGACATATGCGTTCCATACCAGAAACAAAACCAGCTGCATAGACCTGAGGACCATGGATGTGAGAAAAATTGAGGGAGATCTTCAGGAATGCGTTTCAAGCGGGCACGCTGACACCAACCACGTCTCCGCGCGTAATGGGAATATCCGCAAGACGGAGACAGCTGATCAGACGTGAATTCAGAACTTATTCGGCAAAAATGTTTACACCTCCTATTTAGCGCATTTACTCTTTTTCGACAAAGGCAAAAAACACCTCAAGCGAGCTTAAAAACTTTTGTTTGGGAAAGCTGCCGTTTCCATCAACCTTTTCTAATGAGAAAGTCTATTTCAAAATGCGCATAAAAAACGACAGCTAAAATCCATTTAGAAAAGTATCCTATAAAGTAACTGTCATTACCACATTGGCTGAAAAGGTTAAAGTTCAACTGTCTGTCGTGAGCTTGCAGGCGCGCATGAAGATATTTTCGCTTAGGGGTGCTGCACTGAAATGCGCTTATGACACGACTGTTGGCACGCACTTACACACTTTCCTTCAGCACAGAGTGGTTACAAGCATGGTCGTATGAGGTCACCGAGGTCCGGACCTCCGTAATTACATGTATGTATAAAATCATTCGAATAAAAACATTGATAGCACGATCAACTTAAATGAAGGCCATGCGGCCGCAGCTGCCCATCGCTACCCTCATTTAAACTTGAAAAATTGTTCCAAGCTCAGTGGCCACTCTTGGGGAAACACATGAAGCACATGAAAACCTTGTGCGTGCACCACTGCTTGCAGGCAGAATTTTGGACAAATTTCGGGGCGGGTGAAATAGGGTGAAGGGTCTCCCCATTAAGAGAGACGCTGTGCGCTTTTACGCACGAGGAGGCACAGCAGCATAACTTCATGTTTAAGTCTCCCGACAAAGGATCAATTAATATTTTGAGTTCCTCTACACATCCAAAAGGTCTGGCACACAGTCCAGTTCAAAACAGTTTGTAAAGCAGCAGTAAAGCAGCCGGCCTCCAGTTCAATCCTGAGCTCCATTAGTGCGGGTGTAAGGTTTTAGCATATACAGTCACAAATCTCATGTTTCAGCGGCATTCATTTTTTGTTGAATGTACAAAAACACCATATTTAAACTAACAAGCCAATGATAATAATAATGGGAATAAACATCTTACACTCCGATCTTTAGGCTATCTGTATGCTATTCATTTAATATTTATTTTCAAATAAAAGCTCATGAAAATACTGACTAGAAAGATATCTGTTTGTTAGGCCTACCAGTATCAACATATATACCAGCTTGTGTCACTGACTGTGCTGCTGGATGAAAGATGAGTGTTTGTGGGAAGGACGAGGAGGGCAGAGCAGAGTCTCCGGTATCCAGCTGTCTGTCCCTGAAGTGTGACCAGTCCAGAGAGATTCCTCTTGTCTTCAGCTATGAACCTGGACAATTTGACATAAAGTAAGAGTTTCCCGACCGTGCTCTGTCAGAACATCTTGATATTAGAGTGTGCAGATATTAGTTTCTCCCTAACATTTTCTGCCATGCCCCCTTTTGGGGAAAAAAACCCTGTTGTGGGTGAATGCAAACAATACAAGCTCTTTTTTTATCATAGTGTTAGTGAATTACTCCTCCTTCTAGGCATAAAACTAGTTTTAGGGATGTGAGCAGTCACTTTAGTTGGTAGTAACCCTCTTTACCCCAACTGTGCACCACAGCTAGGCAGAGATGAGTGTTTGTGGGGAAGGACGAGGAGGACAGAGCGGAGTCTCCGGTATCCAGCTGTCTGTCCCTGAAGTGTGACCAGTCCAGAGAGATTCCTGTTGAACAATTCAACACAAAGTAAGAGTTCTCCTTATTCTGTTAGCCTTGTGGAAAAAATCAAGCGACCGGCTGTTTTAGATGTGAGGTATAATAGATGTCTAATAGATTAGACGTCTGTGCAAATTAGTGGCTCTCAAACTTTTTCTGTCATGCCTCCATGTGGAAGAAAGAAACGTTTGCAACAGAAAACAGACTTGTAATCACATAATGACCATAAACACACGGGAGTTTCCAGATCAGACTCATTATGCGGCTAAATTTTGTGCCAATTGAGTATTAATCTACAGAAGCATCATATGGTTTGCCACACTGCTTTCAGTGTCTGATGTGAACTTGTATCCCTGATTTCTTGTTCTAAATATTACAGACTGAACCTTTAATAATAAAGGTAATAATTCTGAGGATCTACTGACAGAAATGCACTATATTATCCATACCTATGTTTTCAGTGGTGTATAAAGACCTTACATAATGAACCAGTATGTTTTTTTACCTTAGAATGAGCCATTTCTATCTAGATACATTGCAGGTCCCCTTACATGGACGCCGCCATGTTTCTACAGTAGCCCAAAAGGACAAACTGCTCTACAGAGCGCGTTTCATCACTACGTTGAATACGTACGAAGTAAAGTAGTAGTAGTCTTCTGGTTTGTTTGAAGTAAAAAGAGAAGTGAAATTTGGACAAATAAGAGGACCACATGTATTATTTAGTCGACCGTGAACAACCCAGACATCGGTGCTTTCACTGCCAGCTTGAAACTAACACATAAAAGCACATATACAGGTAAAAATAAACTGTGAACTGATGTACAGGGAGAAAGAAGTTGTAGTTTGCATGTTTAATTATTTGTATCATAAAATCAGCTTGTACTTTAAATCATAAGCATTTCAGTCTGTAGATACATCCTAGGTATTGACCATTGATGGATGTTGATGATTCATTCTGTGTTGAGGTATGTTGTGAAAAGTTGCTAGGATGTGTGTCATCAACTTCTCTGGGAGGTTTGCCCAGGTTTGGACAGGGCAGATCAAAAAGGGTTAATGTGTGAGGAGGTTTGTGTTCCAGCAGTTGGATAATAGTATTGCCTCCAAATTTTGCTTCTTATGTAAGAAAACGTAGACAAGAGGAGGACATGTTCTGTGTATAAAAATGTGTAGATTCAAATTTGCTCAGAGGATCACCACGATCCTCTGTCTTTCTACCATTTCATAACCACCATGCTGTGTGAAAGGTTCTGTCACTTCCTGTACTTTATCAGTCAGAATTCTGACGATGTCATAATGTTGATGATGTCATAAACACCAGTCTGAGGGGAATGTGATGTCACTGCCTGTACTTTATGACATCTTCAGCATTCCAAAGATCAAAGTCAGTGAGTGAACACATTTTAATACTTCAACTCTTCAATCTAATATCTGGATCATTTACAACTGAGCTTCGTGTACAGAGCCCAGAAAAATGGATATGGACTTAGAAGCAGTCATTCAACAACTTGAAGGCATTAATATCCAACTGCAAAGGTATCCGAAACAAGATCAGAAAAATCTACTGGCAGAGCACCATGAAAATAGCCGAACTCAGAAAGAATTGGATGCAGTGCCCAACGCTATGACAGTGGCAACAGAAGCCATTTTAATAGCCAAGGAAGCTTTGGGAAAAGAACTTCAGCAGCTAAACCAGATGCGACCTGACAAAGCCTGGGATGAGATGTGTAAGAACATCAAAGCAGAGCACTTAGCAGCAAGCCAGCAAAATGGGGCACTGCAACAACAAATTCAGGAGCTCAGGGAAAAACTCAAAAATGAACCAGCTTTCGACGAAATGTATGATCAACTGAAAGCAGAGAATGCGGCGATTAGCCAGCAAAATGACAACCTGAGACAAGAGATTCAGGAGATAGCCAAAGATCTCCGTAATGAAAAGGCTCAGCAGGAAATTGTGATCAAATGGAAGTGTCAAAAGTGGCCATCAGCCAGCAGAACGCTGCACTGAAAGAACAATGGCAGAAGATCTCCAAAGATTATGAAGATGAAAAGATGTCCAGATTCAGGTATAATGAGAGGTTGCACATCGTGGACTTAATGCGCAAAGAAAATGAAGACCTCCAACTACTCATTCAGACCTTTACCAGAAGGATCCAGAACAGAAAAGCCATGAAGGACAAGTATAAAGCCCTGAAATCAGAAAAAAAAGCTGTTTCTGCAAAAAAGAATGAGCTTCTTAAAGAACTTCGTTCGCTCAACTCAAAGCGTGATAGCATGCCAGACTATGAAGACAAGTTTGATCTACTGAGAGAGGAGACAGGAGCCTTAAGACAACACAACAATGAACTCCATCGAGAAATCAAAAAGTGCATTGAGGAGATGGAAAACAAAACCGTCATAAAGGAAATGTATAAAGAATTGAAAGTACAGAAAAGAGTCTAACTCAGCAAAATAACATCCTGAAAAAAGAAATTCAGGAGGTGGAGAAAGGCTTGTAAAGGAACAAGCTTTGGTAGACAGGAATAATGTCATAAAAGAAGAAAATGAAGCCTTGATCCAACAAAACTACACATTACAACTCGAGGTTAAAGAGCTCTACGCCAGACTACAAAGTGAACAAATGCTGGAGGTCATGAATAAATCGCTGACAATGGAAAAAGATGCCATGGGCCGACGAAATGACGTACTTCGACAAGAGGTCCAGGAGCTCAATAAAAAGTTTTGCTGAAAACAAAAAAGGGTAGGGATAAAACTCCAGCCTCACACAAAAAGGTGCTGGTTCAATTCCTGGGCCTGACTCTTTTTGTGTAGAGCTGGATTTTTGTCTACGTTTCTGTGTGGAGTTTGTATGTTTGTCGCTGTGTCTGCGTGGGTTCGCTCCAGGTGATCCGGCTTCCCCTACATCATAAAACATATTTAACATGTAGATTCTAAATTGGCCTAAAAAAACAACAATACCTAAAAGCGGGGCAGCATGGTGGTGCAGTGGTTAGCACTGTCACCTCAGAGCAAGAAGGTCCAGGGTTTGAATCTTGGTCGTCTGCGTTTCTGTGTGGAGTTTGTATGTTCTCCCTGTGTCTGTGTGGGTTCGCTCCGGCTTCCCCTAAATCATGAAACATATTTATAATATAGATTCTAAATTGGCCTAAAAATAAAAAAACAATACCTAAAAGCAGGGCAGCACGGTGGTGCAGTGGTTAGCACTGTCACCTCAGAGCAAGAAGGTCCAGGGTTCAAACCTTTTGTCGTCCCAGGTCCAGGGTTCAAACCTTGGTCGTCTGCGTTTCTGTGTGGAGTTTGTATGTTTCTCTCCAGGTGCTCCAGCTTCCCCCCGCTGTCCAAAGACATGCAGGATAATTGGTGACTCTAAATTGTGCTTACGTGTGAGTGGATGTTCGTTTCTATGTGCCCTGTTATGTTTCATTTTCTCCCCTCTTCACCACCTCTCCAGGTGTTCCATTTCCTCCTTTCCTCCATTTGAAAATGACCTAAAAAAATAAAAAATAAAATAAAAAATTTGATTATTCTGGTTATTTATTAATAAATAGTTGGTAGTTTAAAGTTGTTCCAATTTTGATGTTTTTTTGCTAAAAAGATCACATTTTTCCCACACCAGCTTCTCTGCACTGGCTCCCTGTATAATCCTGAATATAATTTAAAATCCTTGTGCTCACCTACAAAGCCCTTAATGGTCAGGCACCATCATATCTTAAATAGGGTATCAAGAACCGGTCCCAAGTTGGAACCGTCCCCAGATTTTCAAGAACAGTGGATTAGTTAAGAGAGTGCGTGTCCGAGGAAAGTTGGTATAAACATCTTAAAGATCTTAAGGTGTTATAAGTTACTTTCTATACAAATCCCACATTGGCTGTTGGAGCAATGATGATTTCACACAGGCAGAAGTGGATGGTACCTTCTGGCCTTGAGCATTAGCGTCCGGTGATCTAGCAATCTGTTCCTTTATAAAGTCCAGGTCTTTGTGCAGCACCAGGCCATTGTCGTTCACCAGGTAGTCAAACATTTGTAGAGAGGCAGTCTTGTGCTGCGACAGAAACAGACCTGTTATATTAATATGGGAATGTGAATGGTCATATTTGAAAATGAAAGTGCAGGGACTCATTACTCAAATAGAAAGAGCTTATTACAGCTCAAACATGACAAGACACAAAGGTTCTAACCGCCTGCAAAAAGCCTTTTATTAAAAACATTAACCATAAAATAAAAGTTATAATCATCATAATTCATATAATGAGAAATTATAGTTTTTTTATAGGATTATTCCATTGCTTAATTGCCCTTGTAAAATTACATTGAATTCTATGTAAAAAGACAAAGAAATTCACATATTTGAAATTAACACAACTTTCTGTTATTTTACTGTGAAACTTTAAATTTAAGGTAAATAAATGTAAAAAAACAATCGTAAAATAACGGTAAAAAGTCTGGCAGCAAAAGTTGCCAAACACTTACAGTAAAGAACCTTAAATTATTCTACGGAATAATTCTGTTTTTATATACAGATATTTACTGTAAACATTGTCTGTATTTTTACACTCCAACTGCTGTAAAATGGAAATAAAATCTCATTTAAAAACGTCTGTAAAATGTTAAACAAATGTATAAATCTGCATATAAACTGAAAAATATTGCAGATATACCTTAAAATTACACAATTAAAAAGTGTCTGCAGTATTCTTTGGTAAATTCATAAGATTATCTATTCCATCCACAAGAACTCCTTGTCAAAGTACAGATTTTTAGATTTAAAACAAAAAAATTACATAAAATTACTTAAAATACCGTGTTTTAAAACTCATTAACAGTATCTTGAAAGCTTTAGGCTTTTATTTTATGGGATTATCCAATCTATTAATGGTAAATTCCTGTTAAATTTAGTTTTTAAACTGCAGAATAAATAAGATCACGTGATAATAGCTTGCAAACCATATTTTTATAGAGATTACTTTATATAAACATATTTGACAGTAATTACAAGCAACTATCCAATATATCTACGAACTTTTCCCATTAATGTATAGAGTTTACTTTATAGACATTCATGGGCCATTTGAGACTAAAAAGACCTATTCTCTTTAGGTCTTGATGCACAGCTTACTGGTGTTTGAGCTATATCAAAATCAAATGTTCATAAAAGGTGTATTTGTTGTCCCATCTTGGTTCACTCAAAAAACTGAAGCTTTGATTTTAATTATATTTATTTTTTCAACAGATTCCACAAAATCGTTTTAGGTTAGTTAAAAGCAAAACAATTTAATGAACTTGTATAAGAGTAACACAATGAATGTCAATTGATCGAATAAAAATAAAAAACATCTGATCAACAATATATTTAAGCTTACCTTTCAATATTTTATTTGGAGTAGTAAAATATACATTTATGTTCAATTAATTAAAACATTAGGTTTTCATTCAATATTTTTTTTCCAAATTAGATTGACACAATTCAAATGTTTGTCAACTGGTCCCACACAAATTAATTTCAACTTAATTTTGTGTTGGACTTTATGCACCAACACATCACTATCATTTTGGTGCAATTGTTGAAAAAATACAGTAAAATTATTGGCACTATAAAGTGTAGAAATGTTTGCAAAATAATGTTTAGTTGTTTTAGTTGCTTAGAATTCTGCCTATTCCACAGAACACAGCGTCCAAATCAATGGCTCATTCATAGACTTTGTTCTTGAGCATCTGTACCTTGGTTGAGAGTTTGCTAGCATCTAGTTGAAAGAATCACTTGTGAAGTACCTCAATTAAATTCAATTTATTTATATAGCGCCAAATCACAACAACAGTTATCTCACAGCGCTTTTCATAAAGAGCCGGTCTAGACCGTACTCTATGATGCTAAGCCCAACAGTTCCCACCTAGAGCAGCACTAGGCGACAGAGGCAAGGAAAAACTTCCTTTTAAGAGGAAGAAACCTCGAGCAGAACCATGGCTCAGGGTGGGCGGCCATCTGCCTCGACTGGTTGGGGTGAAGGGGAGAGAGCGAGAGAGAGAGAGAGAGAGAGAGGGCAGGAGAGGAACAGAGAAAAAGAGAGGGATGGAAGGAGAGAGAGAGGGGAGGGAGGCAGCCTACACAATATACACACAGAGGTACAGACAGTAAAGGTGATGTTGCTATAGACTAAATGAAAAATGGTACAGATATTTATAGTAGTGTTAATGGTAACAGTCGTAATGTTAATTATTATAATAACAATAATACAATAGGACTAGTAACAATAGTCGTTGCATCAGTGGGTGTCGAGCAGGAACACGGGGCAGCAGGTGACCAGCTTTAGAAGAGAGAGATCTGATGTTTAAGAGTCCACATTTAACTCTCCTATTCGTTTGCACTATTGCTCTTGTGGTTTTAATTTTTATGAGGTTTTTATGCACAGCTCCTCTTCCGTTTACTTTTTAAATAATTTCGATGGTCGGGGGACAGACACCGTCACTATAGGATTTTCACTAAGTAACTCCTGAAATGGAGGAGCAGAGAAGTGTGTTAGACTGCGACTCTGCGTAGGGTTTTGGGTGGGTAACTGCTGAAAAAGAAGGGCAGAGAAGTGTGTTAGACTGCGACTCTGCGTAGGGTTTTGGGTGGGTAACTGCTGAAAAAGAAGGGCAGAGAAGTGTGTTAGACTGCGACTCTGCGTAGGGTTTTGGGTGGGTAACTGCTGAAAAAGAAGGGCAGAGAAGTGTGTTAGACTGCGACTCTGCGTAGGGTTTTGGGTGGGTAACTGCTGAAAAAGAAGGGCAGAGAAGTGTGTTAGACTGCGACTCTGCGTAGGGTTTGGGTGGGTAACTGCTGAAAAAGAAGGGCAGAGAAGTGTGTTAAACTGCGACTCTGCCTCCTGGTCTCAACTCTGGGTTGTCATGGATTTGGTCCACTAATAAACTTGGCCAGATTTCTAGAAATGAGAGCTGCTCCTTCCCAAGTGGGATGGATGCCGTCTCTCCGGATCAGACCAGGTCTTCCCCAGAAAGTCTGCCAATGATCTACAAAGCCCACATCGTTTGCTGGACACCACCTCGACAACCAGCGGCGGAATGACGGCGGCTATACATGTCATCACTGGTCAGATTTGGCAGGGGTCCAGAGAAAACTACGGTGTCCGACATTATTTTTGCATATGTACACACCGACTCAACATTAATCTTAGTGACCTCCGATTGGCGTAACCGGGAGTCATTACAGCCGATGTGAATAACAATATCATAATACTGAAATCATTTTAGAAGAACTATTTTCAGTATCTCTAGTGATGTTTGCCAACAGTTTTAAAGAACGCCTTACCTTGGTTTGTCGTTTGAACCTGGCTAAACATTATGAAGCTAAACTTCTTTCAAAGGTTATTGACAGCTGCTGCCAAAATGTAGAATTAAAACATTTCTGAAGTGGTATCACAATGGCAGACAGTGAACATTGATTTTGCATAATGTGATATTTATTCAATATACAATCATTTTGTCATAATATTATTAAAAAAAAGTAGATTCCACTGTTTCTAAAATATTGCCATCGCATGACGAAACATAATGTACTCTCTCTAAGAAAACCAAGAGAAAAAAGGGTCAAGATGAGATGTCTGTAGCTCGTCCAGTGAGTTGGAGACTGTCACCTACGTTTATTAAAGTACAGCGTTGGCAGGCAGTGCAACACCTCCCGTAGCAGCTCGTGCTGCAATGGAAAGGTGAGGCATCTTAATACGTTCGGTGACGTCGTGGTCGTGTCACAGGAATTTCCAGGGGTCCTGTTGATGTCGTCCAGTAAAAAAACAGGATCTCAATTCAAACTAAAATCACACCCAGATGAGATTTGCAAGGCCTGGTGGGGTTTTGGTGTTTCATTGTTGAGGCATTTGTTTTTCCATGTAGGCCTCTCTTTGTTCACCCACGTGGTGAGATCCCATCACGGACGGTACGGTTGTATTTTTCTGTTTAATAAATAGGTGTTACAATATTTAATTTCCTGTTAATTTTCTTTCTTTCTTCTTCTATTGCACCTTTCTAGTTGCCCGACCACTCAAAGAGCTTTACACTACATGTCACATTGGTCCATAGGTTTTTGGTCCCTGGACCCATGGCTTCGCTCTAGGGCTAATTAATGAGTTCATTGTGGTGTGCATATAATTAACTTTGTCTAAGAATGTAAAATTTACTTCGTAGGAAGGAATTAATGTGTGTCTATTTTTCATTTTAATTTCTTATATTTATTTGTACTTGTATTCTTACTTTCTCCTTCTTTTCCTACCTCTCCTTCTTAGGAAATATAATTAGTAGGCCTATATGTTCGTGCTGATATATGTGGAAGGATAGATGTCATTGTGTGTAGTTGTGTGTGTCTGTGTGTATCTTTGTGTGTGTGTGTATTTGGTCCACCTGCTATCAGATTCTTACTCCCTTGTTATTGTTTTGTTGAAGTATTGAATATTTAACACTCAGTGTAATACAAAAACATTAAGGGGGGAAAATGTGTTTTGTACAATTAATCAATGTATTATCCATGTAAAAATATACACATTTTGGTAGTACTACAGGTTTATGACAGGAATGGTGGCAAATGAGACAAGATTAAGTGTTGGTCATTCAAGTCTGTACTGAAGTGTCTTGATGAAATTGTTTTCTCTCCACAGCCAAGTCTTCTACCTTTGTGGGCAGTTGTGACTTTGAGGAGGAGGACATTTGTGGGATGATTCAGGGTCCTGGCAATGCAAAGTGGGAACAACATAGTTCTGTGAAAGGAGGGCCTCAGACTGACTTCACCAAAATGGGACAATGCAAAGGTGACTGTCAATCATTACAATGCATGTTAATGTGTTAAAGAAACAATGGAAAAAGCAGATAAGATAAAACTGAACTTTTGTTGTGCAACAGAAACAAAACGACAAAATCTATAAAACAGTAGTGGCCTTTGCTAAATTGAAAAAAATAAAAACCAAATATAAATAAATACATTCACTTAGCCACACAATTCTAAACTCAAGGTGAAATATTTGAATTTACCATAAAATACGTTCATTCACAGAATACACTTTGTCCAACACTAAAATGTAGTGTGCGTCCTCAGGACACACACAACACACACACACACACACACACCAGGAACTCCTCACGTGTATCTCCCCTCTCCCCTCTAAGTCAGCGGAAAAGTACAAAATAAGCATTGTTTATTTACATCGTCAGTATAGACTAATATAATGTGATTTTGTTTATTAATACACTCACTCACGCTCTCGCCACTGGTCAGAGTCTCTTCCCCTTGTGGCGAAGATACACACACTCACTCGGTTATCGATCATCAGGAATCAGCTGGGACAGCCAGGTCTTCGTGCATCTACCTTGGTCCGCTAGCTAGTTCACACTTCCGTCTGCCGATCTCACGGATTATTAATGTACTTTACCATGGTTTATGGAGATATCCTCCATATCAATAACCCAAAAGTACATCCCGTGCTGGTTCTCTACACCGCGGGGCCCGACACTTCCGTTTTTCCCCCGTGTCCTGCCGGAAACTCATCCCTCCGGCACGATCCGTCCCATGCAGCACTCTTGAAGTGACAGTGCCATTAAATAGAGAGGAATGTTATCGCTGCAGTAATCCCACCAGCAATTACATAACACTATAACCCACTGTGACCGAGCGGCTCCGTCACTGAGTGCGGGACGCACGCACACACACACATATGCACATACTCACTCACTCCCCGCTCCCTTCCAGCCTCAATTAAGCAGGTCATAAACCTTGCTATTATGCATATTTCTTCTACTGTTTAAGTAGCGCGATCAAGGGTGCACACTTGGTAGTTCTACTCTTCTTTAAGCATACATTTAAACAAACATCAAACACTTACTATGTGTCGAGATGCATCGCTGCTCTGTTTCCCATTCAGTTTGGCTAAACGGGAGTGTAACATTTCCGTCTTTTAAATAGCATGTTCTCGCGCGCTTTCATGGTCATGTGAACTGCAAAATTATGGTTTTTGGTTGTAGTAATAATTTGTGATGTAAGTAACTGTTCCAGGGGAAGGAAAATGTTCGATATAATTATTGTTGAAAATATATCGAAGTGTAATAGATATAAATCCTTTTCTGAAGGTAGTAAAATCTATTCATTATATTGTGTAAATAATGGTTAAGCCTAGTGCGAGGGGCTACTGTCTTTAAAAGTGGCAGCTTTGGCCTGTGAGGGCAGTCTTGGCCTGGTTACAGAGGAGGTAACTAGTGAGTTCTTATGTTGGGTTTTTGTGCAACTTTATTATTGAGTAAGTTATAAATTCTTTTTTCAAATAGTTATTTTTTTGTTTTGTTTTCTTTATGCAAGTTTTTTTTCACTGTTTGCACTTTGGAGGCCGGCATAATAAAAATCACGCCACTATTTTTCGACTACGCCTGTCTTTTCTCCTATTTTGAGGAGTTTGGAAGAGAACCCCGCTACATATGGTGTCAGAAGTGGGATGGCTAGTCGGAAAAAGGTATCTCGCCCTCCAAGGCAGCGCACAGGGCTGCGTTCCCAGTGGCGGGGACAGCAGGAGGAGATGGCAACCAGTAATGCAGACCCAGCTTGGGAGACAGTACCTTCATTGTCGTTGTCATCAGAGGAAGGTGAGGAGGGGGGCAGTTCCTGGGCCGCTCCAGCAGCACGTACCACCCCTGCAACAACAAGTGGACCAGGGCATGGGTTACTTACAATGATGAGAGGAGGGGCTGTTGGCAGAGATCCGAGGACTGAGGGCCTCTCTTCCATTGACTTACCAGGTGTGTCAACCTTCCGCCCAGCCAAGTCGAACTGCTGCCCAAACACTTCCTGCTATCAACCTTCCAGTTGCTGCAGCAACCCCAAGCACAGTGACAGCAAGCAATCCCAGGCTGGAACTTCCCACACCTGCTCCCCCGGCGGGTGCATCGTGATGCACTCTTGGAGGCATCCTCTCACCAGTTCAATGACTCAAGCGGCAGAGATGAACAACCAAGGTCAGAATGGAGGCATTATAGTGAGCCCAAAATTCCACCATTTCAGATGGGTGAGGACATTGAAAATTATTTACTACGTTTTGAACGCATTGCCAAAACGAGAGTGTATGGGAATGCAGACTTGTTTCCCTGCTGTCTGGAAAGGCACTGGAGGCCTACACTGCAATGGATGAGGAGCGAGCAAACTGCTATACAGACCTGAAGGCGGCGCTGCTGACCAAGTTCGACATCTCCCCAGAGACGTACCGGCAACAGTTCCGATCAGCAATGATACCACCTGGAGAGAACCCCACCGAGACCTACCACCGCCTTAAGGGCCTCTACCGCCGCTGGATCCGGCCAGAGCAACACACCAAGGAGGAGGTTGATGAAGCCATCATCCTGGAGCAGTTACTTCGAGTACTTCCTTTCGAGGGGAGGACATGGGTGAAGGAGCATGAGCCAGTGGATGGCCTTACGGCGGCTAAGCTGGCCTTACAGTACCTCAACGCCAGGAGAGGAGGACCAGCTACTCGCTCCACCGGTGCAGCACATCGACCAACATTCCAGCCACCCCAGCCTAGGTCTGTAAAGAGAGAGAATAGCCAGGAGCTTCTGGGTAATTCCAGCACTGCCCCAAACCAACGAACATCTGGTAAGGAACTTGTTTGTTTTTATTGCCAGCAGCCAGGCCACAAAGCTTCTGTGTGTCCCATACGCAAAGCTAAGGTCACCGGCGCTTGCTATGCACCCCGGCCGGAAAGAGGGCCTGTCGGGGATAAGGAAGCGAGAGTTCAGCGCTATAAAACTGTGACTATCAATGGGCAGCAGGTTACTGCACTATTGGACACTGGGTGCTTCTTGTCTCTGGTCAAGTACAGTTTGGTACCAGTAGGCAGTGTGGACTACAGTAGACAAACAGACATTTTGTGTGTTCATGGGGATAAGCACCTTTATCCCAAAGCGGATTTAACAGTTACCATTGATGAACAGCCTTACCTGTTTACTGTTGGGGTGGTTGAACACTTTCCTGTAGATGCCATTTTGGGTTGGGATTTACCGGTACTCATGGACTTATTACAAGAAACTGAACTGCCAGTGGAAATTGACTCAGGGGAGGAAGGGGAGGTTGATGTGAATGTGTCTTGCCCTGTGATTACTCGAGCACTGGCAAAAGCTGGTGTCCAACCACTCCCAGACTTGGATAGTAGTCTGTGTGAGGGAGGCACCAAGGGGCCAAGAAAATCCCGCCGACAACGCCGCTTTGAGAAGCAGCTAAGGCCACCAGAACCTGAAAAAATTGGTTTGTTGTCGGATAAAATGTGGGAAGTGCCTGAAAATATTTCTGAACTGCAGAGGGAAGATGAAACTTTGAAACCTTTATTTGCTAAGGTAGTAGAAGTGGGTACAAATGGGAATTGTGTGGGAAAGGAAAGGTTCATTGTTGATAACGATGTTTTGTATGCAGTTGATGATGACCATGGACGTCTAGTAGTCCCTGCTAGCTGTAGACCTCTGGTCATGCACTTAGTACACACACTTCAATGGTCCGGGCATCTTGCATCATAAAACCTATCTTCGCATAAGTAAGCGTTTTTATTGGCCCTCCATGTATACAGACACCCAGAGATACTGCACCACATGCCCCACATGTCAGAAAACCAGTACTCCCCGCAAGTCGGACAGAGCCTTCCTGCAGCCACTTCCGGTTATTGCCACTCCATTCCGCAGAATTGCCATGGACATTGTGGGCCCTCTGGTGAAAAGCAGCGGGGGTCATCAGTATATTTTGGTTGTGTGTGACTATGCTACTCGTTTCCCTGAAGCCTTCCCCCTGCGCACCATTACTGCTCCCACTGTTCTGCGTGTGTTGGTTCAACTGTTTTCCAGGGTGGGGATACCGGATGAGATTCTGACGGACCAGGGAACTAATTTCACCTCCAAGTTGATGCAGCTCTTCCATAAACAACTGGGCATCTCAGCAATCAAAGCCACACCGTACCATCCAGAGACGGATGGTCTGGTTGAACGGTTCAACCAGACACTGAAGAAGATGCTGCAGAAGTTTGTGGATGACACTGGCAAGGATTGGGACCGTTGGTTCCCGTTTCTGCTCTTTGCTTAACGTGAAGTCCCCCAGGCGTCTACAGGCTTCTCCCCATTTGAGCTGCTATATGGCTGGGATGTGCAGGGACCATTGGATCTGCTCCGCAAGGGTTGGGAGGCCCCATCCACCACTTCAAGTGACAGAGGGGTGGTGCAGTTTGTGTTAGAGATGAGGGATCGGCTAGCAAGATAGGAGGCAGAGGTCAACCTGCATGCGGCCCAGAAAAGCCAGAAGATCTGGTATGACCAACAGGCGCGGCAACGTGAGTTCCAGCCTGGCCAAAAAGTCCTGTTGCTTCTTCCTTCTTCCAACAGCAAACTCCTGGCAAAATGGCAAGGGCCATACATCATCCTCCGCAAGATGGGTCCGGTCACTTATGAGGTCCATCACCCTGATAAGAAGAAACCCAAACAGACCTACCATGTAAACTTACTGAAAGAGTGGAAGGAGTGTCCAATCCCAGCTCCAGAGCAATCTCTGATGGTGAGGGAGGTGGACATGGAAGTGGAAGAGGAGGTTGGACCGGAACCTGTCACTACAACTACTCCTCCCCTTCTCGCTCATCTGGCACCAGTGCAAGCCACACAGCTCCTCCAAGTCTTCCAGAAGACTCCTTCCCTCTTTGCAGCCAGTCCTGGGAGAACCACCCTTGTTGAGCATGTTGTTCGCCTAAAGGATGGGCGACCCATCCAGCAACGTCCCTATCGTGTGCCACAACATCTAGTGGAAAAACTACAGCAGGAGGTAGAGGAGATGTTGAAGCTTGGAGTGAGTGAGCCCTCTAACTCAGAGTGGTGCAGCCCAGTGGTCATCGTCTTCAAGAAGGATGCCTCTCTCCGCATCTGCATTGATTTCAGGAAGCTCAATGCCATCTCAGAGTTTGACGCCTACCTGATGCCAAGAATCGATGACTTACTGGAGAAAATTGGAGCTGCCAAATACATTACCACCCTGGATCTGTGTAAGGGTTACTGGCAGGTGCCATTGGAGGAGTCGTGCCGGCCATATACCGCATTCCAAACACTGGCTGGACTTTTCCATTTTACTGTGATGCCATTTGGACTGCACGGAGCACCAGCCACCTTTCAGAGGTTGATGGACAGGGTCCTGCAGGGTTGTGACTACTGTAGCGCATCTTACCTCGATGATGTGGTGATCTTCAGCAACACATGGGAGGAGCATGTCCAACATCATTGGTAATGGGAATGATCAAGAAGGCGGGGTTGACGCTCAACCCCTCCAAATGTGAATGGGCATGGCAGGAGACATGGTACCTGGGTTACCAGCTAGGGCGAGGAGAGGTGCGTCCGCAAGTGGATAAGGTGGAAGCTATCCAGAACTGCCCTCGTCCCCGCACCAAGAAGGAAGTATGGTCCTTCATGGGTTTGGCAGGCTGGTACAGGCGATTTGTGCCTCAGTTTGCAACAATTACCGCACCCCTCACCGCTCTTACCAGGAAGGACCAGAGGAACCCAGTAACCTAGACAGATGACTGTGAAACCGCCTTCAGCACACTGAAAGCCTGCCTGTGCTCTTCCCCTGTCCTCAAGAGTCCAGATTTCAACAGAAGATTTCTGGTACAGGTGGATGCATCCGCAGTCGGCCTTGAAAGCAGTTTTGGCCCAAGGAGACCCTGGCAATGAACACCCCATTCTGTACCTGAGCCGAAAACTGCAGCCTCGTGAGACTCTGTATTCTACGGTGGAAAAAGAGGGCTTGGCCATTAAGTGGGCACTGGAGAGCCTACGTTACTACCTGCTAGGACGGGAGTTTGATCTGGAAACTGACCACCGAGCTCACTTGGATCAACTCAATGAAGGACATGTGGGTCTGGCCCCTGAGGGGGCACAGTACCTAGAGGCGGGTCTAACAGCCGTCGAGACCCTCCTCAGCTCCAAGCCCCCCCATCCACACGGATCCTCCGTGGTGCCCGGAGGATGAGACCTGCGACTCAGTCCAAGGTTCCCACTTGGGATCTGGCGGTGGTTCTTGGGGCGTTGGCTGAGGCCCCCTTCGAACCCCTGGAGTCAGCTGAGGCTAAGCACTTGACCCTCAAGATGGCCTTTCTCCTTGCTATTACCTCTCTGAGGAGGGTGGGGGATCTCCAAGCGCTTTCGGTCTCCCCGCAAGCCTGGAGTTTGCTCCGGGGAATATTAGGGCTATCCTGCACCCTCGTCCAGGATACATCCCTAAAGTGCTATCTTGTGCGGCAGGGTCCACAGTGCTGCAGGCATTTCATCCTCCACCTCATGTGACGGCGGAGGACGGGAGACTTCATCTGCTCTTCCCTGTCAGAGCACTGAGTGTTACACTCTGAGGTCCTCCCGTTGGAGGAAGGCTGACCAGCTGCTAGTGTGTTTTGGGTCCCCCAGGGCTGGGCTCCCTGCATCCAAACATACATTAGCAACTGGATTGTTTAGACTATTTCCCTGGCCTATCAGGTGCGCGGTTTGCCTTCACCTGTGGCTGTGAGGGCTCATTCTACCAGAGGCATGGCGGCCTCTCGAGCCCTCCTTTCCGGGGCCTCTTTGCAGGATGTTTGTTTAGCGGCTGGCTTGGCCACTTCGCACACATTCATTCGGTTTTACAGTCTTGACCATCCTTCGGCACCTGGCACTCGTGCGCTCTCCTCTTAGTCGTGCCACTTTATTGCACACTGGGGCAGGCGGGGTTTTCGGCACGGTTTAGTGGGTATCTCGTTCCCATAGTGTCGTAACCGACGCAGTTCGAGTTCCCTCGAAGGGGAACGTCTCGGGTTACGTATGTAACCCTGGTTCCCCCGAGAAGGGGAACGAGAGACTGCATCGGCCCGCCGCACCTCTCTCCCCGCCTGAAGCGCCTGCTTCATAGTTTAAGCTAATGATGAGTGTATACAGGTGTGCTTTATACTCCTCCGGTTATTCCGTCACACCTTACCGTTCTAGCAACAAGCCAATAGGATTGGAGTGATTTCATTCGCGTTCAGACCTGCAAAGCCTAGAGGCGTTCCCATAGTGTCGTAACCGACGCAGTGTCTCGTTCCCCTTCTCGGGGAACCAGGGTTACATACGTAACCCGAGACGTTTTTGGTTGCAGTAATAATTTGTGATGTAATTTTAATTTTAGACCAATTTCAAAACGGCCTTTTATTGCAAAGATTCAAGAAAGAATTGTGTCCAAACAGCTGCTCACTGTACTGGAAAATAACAAATTATTTGAAAAGTTTCAGTCTGGTTTTAGGAAGTACCATAGCACTGAGACTGCCCTGCTTAAAGTCACCAATGACCTTTTAATGTCTGCTGATGAAGGCATGTGCTCAGTCCTTGTACTCCTGGACCTTAGCGCTGCTTTTGACACCATTGATCTCTGGTACTGCCCTAGAATGGTTTTCATCCTACCTGTCAAATAGGAAGTTTTGTGTGTCTGTAAACAACTATGTCTCCTCGTTCTGTCCAGTTAAATATGGTGTGCCTCAGGGTTCGGTCTTAGGACCCATTTTGTTTTCCTTGTATCTGCTTCCCCTTGGACATATTATCCATAAACATGGCATTTCTTTTCATATTTATGCTGATGACACACAAATATACTTGCCCGTCATATCCACAGACCCTGGAATGCTGAGTTCACTTAACAACTGCCTTTGTGAAGTTAAAAAATGGATGTCAAATAATTTCCTCCAGCTGAACTCAGACAAAACAGAAAACCTGGTCATCGGGTCTCAGCAGATGGCAAATCAAATACTGCCATCTGCTGGTTCCCTAGTAAATCACATTAAGCCTGTGGCAAAGAACCTTGGTGTTTGGTTTGATAGTAATTTAAATTTCGAGCAGCACACCACAAAGCTTGTTCAATCATGTTTTTATCAACTTAGAAATATAGCTAAAATTCGATCTATGTTAACTTTTAAGGACACCGAGACCATTTTACACGCCTTCATCTCATCATGCCTAGATTATTGCAACAGCCTTTTCACCTGTTTAACCCAAAAATCTATTGATCGACTCCAGACTGTCCAGAACTCAGCTGCCAGGCTTTTAACCAGAACAAAGAAATGTGACCACATTACTCCTATTTTAGCTTCATTACACTGGCTCCCAGTATGTTTTAGAATTGACTTTAAAATTCTATTGATCACTTTTAAAGCTCTTCATGGCCTCTCGCCTTGTTATATTTCTGACCTTTTAGTCCCATATGCACCAGCACGTACCTTGAGATCCTCGGGCAGAGGTCTGTTGTCTGTTCCAGAGTCTCGACTGAAAACTAAAGGGGACAGAGCGTTTGCTGTCAGGGCCCCGAGGCTCTGGAACAGCCTGCCCGAGGAAATCAGGTCGGCTGAGTCAGTGAACTCTTTTAAGTCCCTTCTTAAAACATACTTTTATAGGAGAGCCTTTCCCGATCTTATTTGACTTTATTTTATCCCTTTTATTTTATTGTATTTTACTAATTTTATATTAATTTTTCATGCTCTTATCTTTTTTTTTGTATTATTCTTTACACTTGTTAAAGCACTTTGTAACTTGTTTTTAAAAAGTGCTCTACAAATAAGGATTATTATTATTATTATATTATTATTTTCGACTACGCCTGTGTTTTCTCCTATTTTGAGGAGTTTAGAAGAGAACCCCGCTACACCCACATAACACTACACAGGTGATCTTGCAGAACTAACTTTTCATTTGTTTACTGTAATATGAAAGTTCTGAGGCCCAACAAGTTCTCTCTGCCCTCAGGAAAAGGCTTCTTCATGCACTTCAGCACGGCCTCTGCTAAACCTGGTGACCGTGCAGTCCTGGAGAGTCGTTGGCTTTATCCCAAACCTGGAGCCCAGTGTCTGCAGTTCTTCCTCCATAACACCGGGGCAGCAGATGATGTTCTCAACATCTGGGTGCGAGAGGATGACCGCAGCAGAAAACTGAAGCTCTTCAAGAGTATTTCAGGTAACAAATTAAATATTACATACTGTATGATCCACAGTATAGTTTTTTTAATTAAAGCCCCTATGTGGATGTTTCTGACTTTGGCGACTCCAAGCAACATTTAGACTGCAGCAATTTTTCATGTTTCAGTAAACAAAAATAACAAAACCTCAAAGATTTCACCTACAACACTAATATCTATTTTCTGTCCTCTTTTCAGGAGGCGTCAGGGGCTCTTGGGAACTGCATAACATCAATCTGAGTGTGACCAGGAAGGCCCGTGTGGTTTTTGAGGGCGTGAGGGGAAAGGGGCCATCAAAGGGAGGTTTCTCTCTGGATGACATTAACCTGTCATCCACAAAGTGCCCTCAGCACATCTGGCACATCCACAACATCACCGGCCTGCTGGCCACCACACCAGCAGGAAAGAAACTGTACAGCCCTCGCTTTCTGTCACCAGCAGGTTACTCCTTCCAGGTAAATACCTTTTTATTTAATTTTATTTTATTTACAAAGACAATAATTTAGTAAAGCTTGATTATAATTTAGTAAAGTGTAATAATTTTATATAATATAATTTATAATATAATTTATATAATTTTGTATAATAATTTAGTAAAGCTTTCAACAAAATTGAATTGCAACACCTATATTCAAAATTCAGTGCGCATGTGTAGGCGTAGCGTGTCTGTGTGTGTGGTGGCAGAAGAGGAACACTTGCTGAAGAGACGGAGCCCCACCTTCACCGTTGCTGAGCTGAGTTGTCCGCACCTCGTGTCATGTTCAGATCATTTATCACCACTGATGAACCACACAAAGAATATTATATCGTTTTAAACCATTTCTTGTAATAGACCCTTTAGGAACCGCGACAGCTGTTGTCAGCCGTTCGGAATGCACGCAAAACTCTGCACAAGACGGGTGAATGGCAGACGAGCAGAGAGAAAATGGCCAACAATAAGCTTCAGTTTAGCTGGAAATGTACAGTGCAAGTTACAGTGACTAATGAATAGAGAGTGCAGCTCCTCAACATTAAAGCGGAACTACCCCGACCGCTCGCAATCAGCGTGCACAAACACATAGATGATCTGATTATCAGTCGACTATAGGCAAGACATGGCAATTCTGATTCGACTATGTAAATCCTTAGTCATGGACAGCCCTAGCTATCGCTATTGGGTTAGAGGCGAAAACAGGATGAGTCAGCGCCTCACTGGGCACATAAGGTACCACCAAGCACAGAGCCAACATAATAAGCTACTAGGGCACAGACGAAGACTATGCGCTGCAACTGTTCCAACTGCGCATATAGCAGGACCAGCAGGAGCAGGGCCAGCAGGAGCAGGGCCAGCAGGAGCAGGACCAGCAGGAGCGGACACTCCCCCCACCGTCCGGTTGGGAGGAGACACTCAGGACAATCACTCAGCCAGAATACTCAGTACTGAGTGAGTCAACGAAAAACGGGAGACATTCCGCAGGTAGAAACGGATGAATGAGCACGAGGAAGACCAGGCAGCCGTCGTGCAGATATCGTCCACCATCATCCCAACGCCACAGAGAAAGAGACACCTCTCGTGGTGTGTGCGCTGATAAAGTCTGGGGGAGATTCACCGGCTGACACACAGGCCTGTGAAATAGCCTCGCACAGCCAGTGAGACAGACGCTGCACTGACAGGGGGAGCCCCTTGCACTGCTCCCTATAGCGCACAAACAGGCGCTGCGAGAGCCGCAAGCCGACTGTGCACAAGGCAGAGGAGGTGGGACGCAGCTTCTTCCTCTGACCTATGGGGAGGAGGGAAGAAGCCCAAGAGGGTAACCACTCTCGACCTGAGAGAGAGAGAGAGAGATTCATAGTGCATACAGCTAACATCAGACCAACAACCAGACAGCTGCTTTACCAACACAAACATCTCCAGAGTGCTGTAAAACTTATACTGAGGTGCACAAAAGGTACACTTTCCACAAAGGAGCGATAGAGAAGACTAATATATCTCTGTCCACATTAATAAGTGTCAGTTTATGCATTGAAATATAGATGCTGCAACCCTTTCTTATAAATAACATCTGTATTAAAATTTCATGACAGTTTAGCACCAATTATTGTTCCTATGTACTTATAATCATCTACCATTTCAATACTCTCTCCATCCATAGTAAGTGGTTGGTGGGTGTTGTTAATACTTCTGAAGTCAAAAATGATTTCTTTAGTTTTCTTGGTGTTTAACAGAAGAAAACTTTCCCTACACCAATCCACAAAGTGCTCAACCCACTGCCGGTAGTTGGTTTCCTCGTCTTCTTTAATCAAACCAACGATTGCTGTATCGTCAGCAAATTTAATAGTAACATGCTCAGGAGTGTTGTTTCATTCATTCATTTGTATAAAGGGTTAATAAGAAGGGAAATAGTGCTCCCTTGTGGAGCCCCTGTGTTAGTAATAATAGGAGAAGACACTGCCTCATTTACTCTGACACACTGTACTCGGTCAGTGAAAAGGACTCTACTCCAAACTGCAGTAGTCTCTCCATCATAATATGGGGTCTAATGGTAGTAAATGCAGATGACAAGTCTGCAGAAAGAACACAAACGTACCCTTTGGGCCGGTCAAGATGACAATAAATATTATGCAGCATAAATAACAGAGCATCCTCTGTACTCCTCTCCTTCCTATATGCAAATTGCAGTGGGTCCAATTTATATTGCACTTCCTTAAGGACATGGTTTAAGACCATCCTCTCAAGACTCTTCATTACATTGATGTTAAAGCAACTGGTTGATAATCATTTAAGGCCGACGTTTTTGACATTTTTGGTACTGGCACTATAAGTGAAGTTTTCCATGCCCTGGGAATCTGGTGTGAATCCAGTGTAGCATGTCTACATTGTTTTAATACATTTATGAGAATTAATGCCAAATTATGAATTTTAATGTTCAGAAAATATTAATTCATAAATCTCTCGCGGGGCATCACCCGATATTCCATTCGCCCAGGGTCTTGGGATTCCCTGAGTATGGCTAATAATTAGACAATTATTCACAAGTGATCAGTTAGTTAACAATCGCTCAATTATCTTAAATCAATCAGTCAATCTCATATTGGGGGTAAGGTGGTTTAGGGGTAAATTCTCTTGGCAGGGACTTTGAGATAGGCAATACACACAATTCCTTGATTACAGTGAAGTTTATTAACTAACTAAGGTGATATAAAATGCGGTTAAATACATCAAAGAAATAAACAATGGCTAAACAATGAGAAGGGGTTCTATTGTGGGGAGCATTTGACTCATACGGCAGCTAATGAACGCAATTAGATGATACTAACAAGATTAAATTTTCTAGGAGTTTAAGGACTAAAGATAATGGATTAACAAACTATTGGACATCACTGAACACAGAATGCCTTGTTTTTGCTTTACGGTGGGTTGGCGGCCTGCCTTGGCCTGTTGCACGGGTCCCACGCTAGCTGCCCGATTCCTGGCTTTCTGCTAGGGAATTCTCCGGGGTTCTCCGGAATGAAGAAAAACCCCCAAGGGTTGACCGTCCCCGGTCTGGCAATTAGGCAGTTTTTTCAGGAGTCCTTTGTTACTGCTGGCGGGCCACATTGTGGGGTCCGACCTCCGTGGGATTAGCTCAACGCATAAAGCTAAAAAAAGAACTTGGTCGTTCTTGAATTAAACTAGTGTAACTTAACGGACTGATAACTTTTAACAAAACAAAACCAAAGATAATAAAACACAAGGAAAGTTGTTGGAAACGAGGGAAAGTTGAGGTCGCGGCGCTTTGCGTGTGGCTTGAAAACGAACAAGCCTTCGCTGCGCCGGGTCGAACTGCTTAGGGCGTTGCCGGGAGACGGGCACGCTGGGCGCGTGCCGTAGCGCAGTTGGAGAGCCAGGAACAAAACAGAGGACAAGAGAGTGCGAGACAACATGTGTCGCTGTTTTTGTCTGTTGGGGCGTGGTTCCCAGAGGGCAGTCCTTTGTTCCCCTGAGGCGGGCTTGTCTCCGGTTTCCCAAGAGACTTTCTTTCTTTGACTTTTAATATTTAAATCAAAACTATTTGCACGTATTGTAATCAAATATCTTCACACAATCAAACCCTAATTGCCAAACGGTTGTTCCGTTCTTAGTTTAAGCACTTGATAAAAAGGAAAACAATTGTCAGTAGTTCAACTTTGAGGTTAGCATTTCAGAATGAATCACATCAGAGGAGAAGAATTTAACTAGTTTTCTGGATATATTGGCTGTTACACGTTCTTAGAGAATATAAGCAAGACACACGAATGGCATCAGATTATTGGACATGATAAATACATAGTGACATTAATACATTAACGGCATTTCAGACGATGGCATGTAATACTTAATTTTTCCACTTGGGGGCGCTCAGGTTACATGACGATAGCTTGAATTAACCCCAAAACAATCTTTGCTCAGGAGCTTTAGTTAAATTTGAGCTGGCTTATCACATTTGCACATCAGCTCATAGAAGAGAAGGTAGTGGTGTTTTATGGCCCAGCCATTCTATGGGAAAAGGTATCAGAACGTCCGGTACTTTGATGTCCTGAGGCACCCTAGAGGGAGAGGGATTGGACACTTCTTTTGCTGTCCTGCTAAGTGTCCTTTACGGCGTCCTTAAGCGATGCATGTCTGATTGAGTCTCTGCAGACCCTTACCAAACCCCAGGCGATGTCTCTAGTTTTTGCATTTCAAAAGGCCAATCTCCAGGGGAGACCTACCCCCTCCTTTTTCTCAGAGAGAGAGAGGGAAGGGATTTTTGAGTCTCCAAATTATTTGATATAAAATGCACAAATCCACACTGTTGGTTCACAACACCAGGAACAATTGAAAAAGCTGTCTGAAGGGCTGTCCCCTATACTCCTTCAGAACCCTACCTCTGATCCCATCCTGTCCAGCTGCCTTATGTGGTTTGATCTTTTTAAAGATTTTACCCACCTCCTTTGCTGTTATAACTAAGGGCTGGCCATAGTCCAGATGTTGCCTAATCAAATTACGTTCAGTGCAAAAGTCAGATGTATCAAATCTAGTATAGAATGTATTTAAATCATCAGCAAAAGTCATATCATCTCCATTTTTACTAACATATCTTTTCTTCTCCTCCTTCCCTGTCATTGTGTACACTCTCTGCCATGCCTGCCTTAAATCACTGCCCCTCATCTTCCCCTCTATCTTTAATTTATTTTTGTTTGCAGTCATTTATTATCGGGTTAGCCGATAGGCTAACGGCAGTGGCACACACAGTGTGGGGAGTGTGTGCTTCATGTGGCTCAGTCAACTGAGACAGGCACAGAGTGTTTATTCCAAAAACAGCTTGCACACAAAGAGCAACAACATTATCCCACACAGTCCCGACCCATAGCATACCAGTCGTTGCTCTGAGCAGCAAGAGTCAGACCAGCAGCAAGCAATGACACATAAGATGAGCAAGAGGGAAATAAGTTAATGGTTTGTGCGAAGACATTATCCACTGGTAATCTTCTGCTCTTTAGACAAGCTCAGTGCGGAAGCACAATGGGAGCCGATGGCCAGATCTCAAGGTCATATATCAAAGTCCTCATATACACAAGGTGACGACGTGATAGAGGCCCACACCACGGGTGGGCGTAGACAAAGCTTTTTTCTGTTCTGCGCGTGCGGACAAACCCAATAGCGATAGCTCTTGAGGGCGAAAAACTATGCTGCTATGTTTTGGTGTTTACAGGTGCTGCTTCTGTCCTCTCAGTGTCTTAGCGTTGATAAGTTGCACCTCTGCACCCACACACACACCGTCAAATCGAAGACAGTGTGCTAGCAAGAGCTCATAACTTTAATAAACTCAGTCAGAAGTGCAACCATACCGGCCAATGCAAGCTCATTACAGCTACAGGGGAGCCCGAGGGAGCTTAGCTCCCCTTAATAAGACATCAGCTCCCCTAAAAACATGATTTGTGATATTTTGGGGGTCTAAAATATTGACAGCATGCTTTATTACCATTATTCTCTATATTTCTCTATCATCATGGATCATGTAGAGTGTCAGACTTCATCCAGCCAGAGGGAACGATCACCGACCGTATGCAGCTCCGCGATCTCATGGCCCTGTATGCTCCACCGCCCCACTCCCTCTCTGGGAACGGGTTGTGTCGCTAGTACGACCGTCACGCTGTGAACGGTTCGTGATCGCTCCCTCTGGCTGGATGAATATTATGCCTGATCCATGCACTACTGCAGCTGGGGGCTCCCTGCAGCGCCACGCAACTTTCTAAATTCTTCCCTCTCGCGGAGAAAAGAAAGGTCAGCTGCAGCTGAGAAGCGTAATTGTAGTAAAATGGCTACGATAATAATGATAGGCCTAATTATTATTATAATGAGACAAACATGCCTCATCCTGTCACAGTCAGCCCCATTGACTGGTCAGCCACAGGCCTACATGCAAGCATCTATTAATGATTCAGCAGTAAGAATCACTGTCCCCTGTGTGGGCGGAGACAGATATTTTGTTAAAAAAAATGAAACAGTTACGTCCGGTCAAGCTTTGTAAACAAGGTGGAGCGTTGCCCACGTGAGAAGAGCCTCCGTCAGACCCACTTATACCGTGTTTAGCAGCAAATGGAGGCTGTCAAGTAATAAGGGACATGCATACACATACATGTACTGCAAAAATGCATTCATTGTGTATTCCCCCATATTAAATAGGATTATAGTATTTTAACATCCTGCTGTTGCAAGACATTTCTTGTGAATTGTCTCCATAAATAATTGCACATATCTTTGAATATTTCTAGATG